GAGCGATTTTTCCCCTCCCCTTCTCTCTTTGTCACCACACCTCCTCGCTCTCGGCCAGCTCGCAACCCAACCCTCGATCGTCGCGCTAATCCCCCGCCTCCGCACTGCCTTTGCTGGTGGACACTAAGCCGAGAGTGGCAGGGTTCGTGGTGAGGAAGTGGGGGGAAGAACAGAGGCGGTACTGAACAGACTTTTGTAAAGTAAACCAGCTGCCACCTGAGACACTGGGACGGCGAAAGGCCTCTCGCCCCCTTCCCCTCTCCAACTCTACAGCATAGGCCAGCGCCGATTTTTACCGAATCAAATAAGCAAAACACGAAAAGCACAGCCTTACTGTTGGCCAACTCAAAATAACTCGTAGTTAAGAGTAAGTGAAAAGGTGAAAAGTACTTTTGCTGGATCTGTGTGAACTGATCGCTTTCTCATCAATAAAATACCGGCAACATTCAACACAGTAAAACTGGCCACCACCTAAAAATGCATCGCTGTTCGAGGTGGGTGCTTTTGATGAGATAAGAGCTGCTTGAAGAATCACTGTTCAAAGTAAGCCGTAAATTCAGCTTGCGCAACTCAATTTGGGCCAAATTTTCTGCAAATGGCACTCTTCCAAATCAGTACTATTAGCATCTCAGCACAAATTAAACATCCCTCAACCAGCAATTTGCGGGCCGTTTAACACTGCCTAGCCGACTTCATCGCCAGCCCGACACTACTCTAACCTTGTTAGATTTATTTCCTACTCTGAGGCTCGGTTTTTCGCGTACTTTCTTCCTTCTTGGTGATCTCCAGTAATTTCAAAAATCATGGGCGATCCTCGACAACGCCGCTTCGGATAGACGAGAATTTTTTTGAAACGAAACTATTTAGCAGCAAATTAGTATAAAGCAGAAACGGGATGAAGTGAATGCTGGCCTGGCAAATCGAGGTTATACTCCTGGTTCAGTAGACGATGTCGCTTCTCCGGTTCCAAATCCCGCACAATTTCATCCATATCTTTACCCTTCCTCTTCCTCACCTTACTTGAGACTGCGTGCTTCTTCGGCATTCTCTTCAGGAATTCAAAGCTGCACGAACTTAGTGCTCACTGTAAAAAAAATCGTAAATTACAGCATGAAAACGAGTGGACAGTACAACAAAAAATGACTGGATGAGCTAGTGATTCCACTTGCTCATGCGTTACGTGCTCCAGTGACTGTATGATTTGTGTGCAAACGCTAAACCTACACACATGCGTGCACACACACACACACACACACACACACATATACATATGTATACATACAGTAATATCCCAAAAGTACGGGTATTTGCATTGCATGATACCAAAAAAGTGCATTAAAAACCCCGAAATTGAACTAACAGAATAAAAAATAGGGCATATTAACGACGGAAGAAGGGATTACAAAAAAAGCAGAAGATGAGAATTACAAAAATTCGTAAATTATAAGATTTTAATGGTAAGAATTGTTTCGGCCCATTAAATCTTATACATTTCTTACCATTACCACAAGCCTCTCTGACAAACGTGAAAGCACAGAAAAACTGATTACAGATCACGGAAAATTATTGGTAAAGACCAACCGACTTTTGCGAGCCAACTTCTTCCGGGGGAACTTCAGATCGATTTTGCTGGACTTTCCGGTCAAACTGTTGTTTAAATTCGTCAAAATCAGTTCAGAAAAACCAACAGCCAATTCAAAGTGCGCGGCGAAATTCAGCCTTTCAGTTCAAACCTGCAAAACGACATCACTGCAATTTTGGAAACCGAAAGCACTGAGAAGCGACGCACAGGAGAGGAACGGGGGGAAAGAGAGGGAGAGAGGGGGAGGCACTCTCCCTTATCCACCGGCTCCTTCTCCAGAACTGCCCAGTTCTGCCCGCACAGACGTAATACTTCTGAGCTAACAGCACTCCACCCACTGCTTCGTTGTGCCTCTTTCAAAGAATGCTTCCGGGAGGGGGAAGGAAGGACGCAGTTCCCACTAAGGACAAAGGCTCGGATGCAGCAAGTGCGAGGCAGTGCGGGAAAATCTACCGGACAGTGCATCAACGGCAAGAAGGGAGGCACGGATGCATGAAACGACAGTGACTGAGGCGGGCAGTACGCGGCAATAGTAAAACATACGGGGCCCAGCTAAGCCTCAGGAACTTGATGGAGCGGGGAGGGGCAAGGACCGAGTGACGCAACGCCGGCGATACTCGCTCTGTAGATCACCACAGAGCTGTGCGCAGAGGAACTAACTCAGCACTACTGCTCCAACACGCGCAAAACGCTAAGCCCCCTCAAAAAGCAACTGGTCGACCAAGCAGCACGCACCATCATCGGGAATTGCTCTAAA